ACAGAATTTTCAATAGAGGACACTCAAATGGCTGAGAAACACTTAAAGAAATATTCAACATCCTTACCCATCAGAGAAATGCAAATTTCGTCTTACACCCATCAGAATGACTAAGATCAACAACATGAGTGACAGCTCATGCTGGTGAGGCTGTGGAGCAAGGGGAATATTTATATATTACTGATGGAAAAACACATTGTATAGCTTCTATGTAAATCCATGTGGCATTTTGCTCACGAAGAGGCAAATCATTCAAACTCAAGATCCAGCTGTACCACTCTTGGGCATATACTGCATTCCTACCACAGAGACACTTGCTGAACAATGGTAATTGCTGCTTTATTCTTAATAACAAGAACCTATAAACAGCCAAGATGCTCTTCAACAGAAGAATAAAGAAAATGTATATTTACAAAATTACTCAGCCATTTAAAAACTGCCGTAATGAAGTTTACAGAAAAATGGATAGAACTAGAAAAATTATCATGAGTGAGGTATCTCAAACCCAGAAAAACAAATATGGTATATATTTGTGAATACGTGGATCCTGGCTGGTAAGTCAATGATAACTAAGCTACTATCCATAGAACTTCAGAAGGTAGGTCTAGAGTAAGGGACTAGAGGGGACAGAGAGATTCATTAGGAAATGGAAATAGTTATGGATACATGGTGGGGTGCTGGAATGGGTGGATCACTTGTGAAGGAGATAGGGCATATGAGAGGAAATACAAAGAGAGACATTTAAAATTAAGAGACATTTAAGAGGCAGTATGGAAACCTAATACAGTAGAAGCTTCTTAAATTTTGTGTGTGTGTGAGTGTGTATGTGTGTGTGTGTGTGTGTGTGTATACATGATCTAAATAAAAATACCAAATAATGGAAGAAACAGAGTCCCAACTGGCCACCTTTTATCACAGGATCGGGTTACATTTATTTGTGCTGTTGGACAAAGGGGCCCATGGAAATCCCCAAATAACCCCGGCTGTTGCCATGACAATAGGTACCTCTCTCTACAAACTGACAGAAAAGTCCCATTGCTGAAGACAACACCTAAATGGGGAAGTCAAGCTCGTATGTACAAAGAGCCTTCACTGCTATGTTCTAGCATCTTTGATACATGGATGTACACTGCATGCTGTCAAGAGAAAACACAAACACAAAGCCAGACAAACCCTTTGATCTACAATGGTGCCCTGCCTGTAAAATATGCTAGGGCAGTGGTTTTAAGCTTTCTAATGCTGCAAATCTTTAATACAGTTCTTCATGTTGTGGTGACCCCTAACCATAAAATTAGTTTTGGTTCTACTTCATAACAGTAATTTTGCTAGTTTTGAATCTTAATGTAAATATCTGTGGTTTTATGGTTGTAGGTGACCCTTGTGAAAAGCGTCATGAATCATATGTTGAGAGCTGTAGTGCTCGGGTATAGGTTGCACAAAGCTTGTATTAGTAATCAGCCAATATCCGATATGATTAAGATCCACTCAATACAATGTAATCCATACCCAACACTGCTTGGGTGTCCAAGAACCAGAGGTTAGATAGTCCAGGAACCTACTACTGTTCTAACAAAAGGAGAAGCAGCAATAAAATGACTCCTAATGACATTTTGCTATACTCCCAGATCAGTTCCTTGCTCAGCCATCATCAGAGATGCTTCCTTCTTCAGCAGGTGAGAACAAATCAACAGAGACCCACAGACAGACATTATGCAGAGAATGAGAGTCCTTGGAACCCTCAGCTCTAAATCCCTCCATCAACTCTCTCCCTTCAGAGTTCAGGGAGCCTCACAGAAGAGGAGGTAATAAGAGTATAAGAGCCAGAGGAGGTGACAGACACCATGGAAACAAGGCCTTCTAAATATGGCTGGATTGTTGCACCTATGAATTCACAGAGACTGTGGCAGCATGCTGAGGGCCTGCACAGGTCAGCTCCAGGTCCTCTGCATTATATTATGGCTTCCAGTTTAGAGTTTTTATGGGAGTCTTGAGTATGAGAATGAATGGGTCTCTGATTCTTATTGCCTTCTCTTAGGCTCTTTTCCTACTCTTTGTCCTGTGCAAGTCTAATGTGGTATTATAGTTATAATTATTTTGTTATGTTATATTGTATTATTATCACATGGGAATATTTTTTTGTAATGAGAGACAGAAATGCAGTGGATAATGATGAGATAGGATGTGTGGAAAAACTGGGAAGAGTAGAGGAATGTGAAACCATAATCAGGATAGAAGACATGAGAAAAAATATTTTATTTCTTTCTTTTGATTGTTTATTTTGTTGTTGTTGTTTTTCTATTATTTCTTTACTTAATCATCTTTCAGCCAGATTTCAGGCCCTTCCTTTCCACCCAGTCTCACCGTTGTGTCCCACTCTCCTTGCACCTACCTCTCCCTCTTTTCAGAGAAAGGAACTCTCCCCATATGTACCAATGGACCCTGGCACATCAACTCTCAGCAGAACCAAGCATATGCTCTCCTACTGAGGCCAGACAAGGCAGCCCAGCTGTGGGGAACAGATCTAGTAGCAAGCAGCAGAGTAAAAGACAGTGCCTACCCCATTGTTAGGGAATCCACATGATGGCCAAGTTGCACATCTGATACATATATGTAGAGGGCCTAGGTCCAGCCCAGGCCTGCTCTTTGGTTGGTACTTCAGTCTCTGCTAGGCTCCATGGGCCCACATTAGTTTACTCTGTAGGTCTTCTCCTAGAGTACTTAGTCCCTCCAACTCCCTCAATCCTGCTCCCACTTCTTCCACAAGACTTCCTGAGTGATGCCTATTGTTTAAAAACATATATATTATAAACTATATTACAAGAAACAATGTAAAAACACCACACACCAAGATCGACATACCAAAAGGGTAGCTCAATGAACATCTATACAATTATACCATCTCCCCCTCACTTTCCTCCCTCCAACCCCCCCAAACCTCCCCATCTGAAATTTATGGTCTCTTTTCATTTAACTGTTATTGGTACATATATAGGTGTAGATTAAATGTATGTAAAATAAGATATATACATAAATTTAAGTATGTAAATACAACCTGATGACTGCTAATCATCTGCTACTGGATAACTCCCTCAGGGGGCTCCTCCCTAAGGAAAACCAATTCTGCCTCTGTCAGCATCCCCCTCACAAGTTCACATATCTACTGGGGTTGTCCTTGCTTGGGTCTTGTTGCTGCAGCCATGTTGCTGAAGTGTCATGGCTGAAGTTTCTCTGCCATTTATAGGAGACCCAATCTCACAACACACTTTCTTGTCCTCCAGCCCTTACCATCTTTCTGCCTCTCTTTGGCAATGTTCACTGAGCCTTGGGTGTAGAATTGTGTTACAGATGTGTCACTTGGGACTTAGCATGCCACCATGAGTTCTTGTATGTAGTTTACCATTTGTGGCTTTCTGTAATGGTCTCCACAGGTTGCCAAGACAAGCTTTGATGAGGGGTGAGAATTACAATTATCTGCAGGCATAAAGATAAGTATTTGGAATACAGGAATCATGCTGACTTAGTAAAGTGACAGTAGAAAGGTCTCCTTGAAGACCCATTAGCTTACTAGGTTATAGTAGTTGGCTAGGTTTTCAGTACCAGGCATGACCGTTGAGTGGGTCTTATGTCCAATTACTCAACTTTGGTTACCACCAAGATACGAGTACCACCAATGCATCCTTAGGTATATTTTGTCATGCTGGCCATGTTTGTAGCTCATAAGCATCACAACTGGGTGGTTTTTAACACCTTGGATAGCACAATTTTGGTATTGCTGGCTCACCTGTATTCATATATAGATAGGATATATTCATAATAGATAGGAAGTGAAAACAAGGCAAAAGGCCTTCAACTGGCAAATGTACAATGAAATATAAGACATATAGGTATGCAATATAAGCCAGCTGTAAGAAATATAAAATCAAAAATTTGTAGGTAAATGGATAGAAATAAAAACAATACTATACTGAGTAGGCTATCCCAGACCCTAAAAGACAAATACTACATGAATTCTCTTGCTTATGGTTTTCAGCACTGAATATTCAGGTTAGAGTAAATTACCTCCAGCAGCCATAGAAACAAAGAAAGCAAAGAAGGTCAATGTGAAGGAGTAGAGTGAGGACTGAAACATTTAAAAAGATGAAAGTGGGAAAAGACAAAGGGAAACTTTGACTGGGAAGTGAGTTCAATACTAGACAACAGGGAAGGAAGAAAAAAATATAAAACTCAAGATACTTGAAATACCCACACAAAATTAGATGGTTTTTGTTTATCTAAAATGACATGGAAGTGTATGTGTATTAGACATAATATAGTCTAACTGAAGATACGCTGCGTGGACTGACAATAATATCCTCAAGGGCCATGGACTAGCAAAAACTCCAACACCAGCCACAAGAAATTGACTTTCAAGTTGTGGGTCAGGGGAGTCCAAGAGACACACTAAACAATACAAGCTATCAGTATTGCTCTTGGTTGCCTCCAAGAGACTGAAGGAAGGGAAGTCCCTATTGCTGAAGACACTGTGCTCTTCAACCACATTACTCCAAAGAGGCCCGCTGGGTCTGGTCTGAAAGCCTCCTCCATGAAGACTTGCTGTCATATGAAGGTTACTATGGAATAAACAGAACTTCAGAATTCAATCCATGATGAAGCATTTCAGTGATGGTGTCTAGGAAGGGATTCCATGATGGAAAATGAAGGCCCTGAAGACTTTTGCAGGCTGAAGCCTCTTCCCCAATCTGAACTGAAATAGGTTCAGGAAGTGGAGAAGTCACTGTGTTTTGTTCTCAAAGTAAAAGGAGAGCTTTCTGAGAATCCTCTGATGACAACATCCTTGAAGAGTTTCATGGAACAGTATCAAGACTCCTACTGAGCAGAGAGAGGGAAGCTGATACCGATAAAAAAGGCTATTGCCCTTCATATCTGCTGGCAAAGTCAGTCAGGACATAATATAAAAGAGAAGCTCAGCTCAGCTCTCAGCCAAGGCCCTTCCCGGCAAGATGAATCCCACCAGCTTCTTCCTCCTTACATTGCTCCTCGTTCTGGTGACAGAAACAGCAGGGAGGAAACCCCGTGGTGAGTGGCAGTTTTGTTCAGTGGAAAACATATTTGGGGACAACATTCTCAAAAGAGAGGATACACCTGGAGTCGGCAAAAGGCTGTGTTCCAGGGCTCTCTCCCTGACCTGCTGGAACCTGACTCCTTGAGCCTTAACCATTAGTCTTGTGCAGAAATCTATAACTTGACAAGCAAATGTTGGTAATGAGGGCTGTGGAGGAATGCTGGACATCAGGTAACACAAACCTCCTCACTGTCAGTTGTGAAGGGCCATTTTACAAGCAGATCATTCCAATTTCTAGCCAGACTAGAAGGTCATTGACTTATTTGGACAGAAGCAACAGGGTTCACTCAAACACAGGTCCATAACCAGAGCTGCAGCACAGGCTCTTAGCAGTGTCCAGATGCAGAACCCTTCCAGAATACAGGGAAAGATGGACATGGAGAATGAGCCATGCTTTTCTCTCAACAGAAAAATTCTCACAAGTATTTGAAGAAAGTTCTAGTGAAGGCACTCAAATTATTTCACCGGGGGAAAGAAGGGGATCAAGTTCTTCCCAGGATGACAACATCCCATATGAGCCCTTGATAAAAGAAGAAAAAGTCCAACTATTCTACAGGGAAAAAAAACATAACAAAAATGCTGGTGATGGTGGTGATGGTGATGGGAAGAGTGACTTGGAACTAGAGAGGTCTTATATACGGAAAAAGGAAAAGCAACGGTTTGCACAAGAGGTAGATAAATAATGTGGCTATAAAGCAACTGACAACTAGACGAAAATAATGGTAAGAATTAAAACAGGTATGGGGCATACCTACCCCAGTGTTTAGAAGTTGAGCACTTCCTGGGCCCTTGTGGTACTGAGCCTACTGTGCACAGCAGGGGAGCTGTGGAGTATGACCCTTGATGGGGGGTGAGGAAAGCATGTGGCAGAGCAAAGAAAGGTACCTGGTTGTGACTGTGTCCTGATATTCCTACCCTTGGGGTTTTTTTTAATGTATTTCCTTTGTATAACCAACAGGTAAAGAAATCTGATTATGTACTACCCCTACAAGCATATTTATCAGGCAATAATGCAAGCTTGTTACTTCTTAGAGTTTGGTTTGACATCTCATAGAACACTGTGTTATAATACTATTCTCTTCCCACATCTACACATCTTTGCTATGATGCATTTATCCCTTGCAAAGACCATGGGTCCAAGAATTGGCTTCCATTTCCCTGTCAATGAAATAAAGAGTTGTATATAAAAAAGAGAAGTCCCTACCTGTAACCCACTAGAGTTGGAACGTAGCCGTAAATGGCAGTATTAAGAACCATGGAAATATAGGTGTCTCCCTTACCCTTTACCTGGCACTGTTACACGTTACAGGTTACCTGACCACTCCCAAGGAGTTGCATAATCTGAAGGA